AACTGGGGTTAAGGGTCCAATGGTGACATAAGTCTGGATTGGAGCCAGCGACTTTCTGTTAGCAAGCACAGAGTCCTAACCCATTGCATCACACATAATTATAATAATACCCATCATAATAAAGATCTTTGAAAAATAGTTTTTCAAAGCAATGTGTAGCATCACTATCTCACCCACTTCAATTTTCACTCGATATGTTTGCCGTATTCATTGCTTTTGTAAGTGTATCTTTTACGTACAGGAGTGCATTCACTAAATCCGTACGTGCCTTAGGGTCTGCTCCATACATGTGACATGGCTTCCTGTTCTGTCTCTTCAATGCTCCAAATGAAAAATCTGAATGCAAGCTCAGGGACAAGCTTATTTGACTATTATTCATCCATCCATCCATTTTCTATGCCCACTTGTCCTATGCAGCACCACAGGGGTCCTGACTTTATCCCAGAAGCTATAGGCACAAGAAATCTGGTCCTCGGGGACCCACAGACAGTACACATTTTTGCTCCCTCCCAGCTCCATGACATTTTTGCTCCCTCCCAGCTCCATGCCGGACAGTACACATTTTTGCTCCCTTGGGAGCAGGACGTGGACTGTCTGCGGTCCCTGAGGACCAGATTGGGAAACATTGCAGTACAGGGCTTGATGCACCATTTGATGCACGAGCTGTTCTGAGTTACAAAGTTCATTGACAAGCAGACTCACTACAGGTAGGTGCTTTTTAATTAGTAACACCTTTAAAATAACATAAAATGCCAAACATTTTTGTTTAGTATCCCTGTGGGAGCCAATAACTACAGTTGCAATTAATGGCGAAATGGCAAGAACAGAACTGAATGAGTATAAAAAAAATTATGACACATTAAAAAGAAAATGTCAATGTAGAAGATATGTGCAGATATTTTAAGCATTGCTTCCAAATGTACTTTTGTTATGGAAACAATAAACCTGCATATTTCTACAGAATTAAGCAAGCGTCCCAAGACTTTTTGTGAGCACTTTGTGTGTGTCTGTGTATTTATAGATATATATATATATATATATAGATAGATAGATAGATAGATAGATAGATAGATGTGTGTGTGCGTGGGTGTGTGTGTGTTTGTGTGTGCGTGCGTGTGTGTGGCTGCAATGAAAAAACTAAAAATGCAAAAAACTCTTGTATTTTGCTTGGTTACTTATGGTTATGGTTAGGGTTGGGTAGGGAATAAGGTTGTCATAGTTAGCGTTAGCATTTTTCCCATAGAAATGAATGAGCGGTCCCCATAAGGATATGTTTACCCGACATGTGTGTGCGTATGTGTGTGTGAGTGTCTTACAAAAGGAGTGTAAGATGGGTTATGCGAACACCTCCCCATGTAGCTGTACTTGTACAAATGGCAAATAAAGCTTCATTTCAGCTTACAAGCCACTGGTTGACTGGTCTATGAGGCAGCAGCTGCAGAACTTGCTTTAGGCTGTATCTATTTTCTCCGCCTACATGTTTACAGTCGAGTTATACTGAGGAAATCCGATATAAATTAAGACCGACGGACCAGTGCCAAAAAATATCTTTGCTGAATTGTTTTTGGGTGCATCCTTCTGCTTAAATAAAACGTGGCTGCAAATTCATTTTCAAAATAAAGGTCTGATTTATTTATTTTCCTTCTGAAGGGCCAGTAAGTCACTCGTGACTGCAGCAGTGGCTCACTGGAAATCATTTAGGAGTTTTAGCGCGTCTTTGAATACAGTGAATTACATACCTTGCTGGAGGCAAATCTGCCACTTTATGCACAACATGTATTGGCCTATTCCCTACATGGGACACAATTGTCAGGTAAAAGATGTATTCTACGAATACAGGACAAGATGTCAGAAAAAAACACATTCACTGACTGAGTAAAGCACAGAAATATGCTTGGAAAATGCTACTATTTTTTCACTGAAATACATTTTTGTTCAAATATTTTCTTATGCTTGGGTGTTATGAAGGCCTCTAGGAAATCATGTTACCTGACACCTTTGAGGCGTCCCATACAGGTGAACTGTAGTGCGCACTCTGCCTTCTGGGATAGGCTCAGGGGTCTGTGCAGCCCAGTCTCGGATAAGCAGCTCCAAGACGGATGGATTCATATAAAAAGAATTAGATCTACAGTATCTTTATATGCCATGAAAGCAGCAGAATTGCATACATATATTGGTACAAACTTTCTATATCAGGAGGTGTGTGACTCAGTGGATTGAGCTGCTGTTCCTGAAATCAAAAGGTTGCTGGTTCAAAGCCCAGGGTTGCCAGAGTAATTTCACTGCTGGGGCCTTGAGTTGCTCCAGAGCCTCATGAACCTAGCTTTCTCAAAACAATAATATATGTTGCTTTGGGTGAAGCCTTTGCTAGATAAATTAAATGTGACGGATTTTGAATGTTACATTTATATAGTGCATGGGTGGGGAACTTGATCCATGGAGAGCTGCTGTGGTCTTTTGGGATGACCTCTCAAGCAGCCAATGACAATGGGTCCCTGAAGCTGGAGCTGAGAACCACTGCTTTACAGAACCAACGGGGACCCACTTCAACCACCACCACTGTGTAGCCCCCACCTGGATGATGCCACAGCAGCCATTCTGCACCAGTATGCTCACCACACAGTAGCTAAGGTGGTGAAGGGGCAGGAGAGAATTCACCAGTTAGATATAGCGGATTATGCACCAGTGAAAGAACAGAAAACAACAAAATTGTTGTTATATACATTTTGTTTGTTATGTGTGATACACGCATATAAATAATACACAGCGAAAATGAAAACAAGACAGTTGTCCCAACACTCCTAATTAATATTCCATGGTTAAAAAGTCACACTGATGATATATGATTAATGCAGTTTTGTTAGCCAATAGATGTGCTTACTGCACCCAGAGCCAGCGCCAGCGGAAAATGAAGGGGAGGCAATTGAAATGCAGAGAGGGGGTGGTGACTTAAGCGTGCTACACAAAGTTTTATGATTGTTTAACAAGTGCAGCATTACACCACACACACATGCGTGCACACACACAGACCTGTACTCATATCTTTGTGCGGACCATCCAATCATTACTACGGGCAAAACTCTAATCCCAACAATGACAACTTTTACCCCTAACCGGTCATGACCTAAACCATAAGTAACCAAACAAAATACTTTTGGTTTTTTAGTTTTTTGATTGCCGTCAGAGATTTGAATAAAATAGAATTTCCCCTATTGGGGACTAAAAAACACTGGTCCCCACAACATCAAAATGCAGCATCAAAAACAGGGTTTTATCACAATGTGGGGACATGTGGTCCCCACAATGTAATGTATACCTGGACCATACACACACACACACACACAGAAACACACATTAATAGATCAACAAATCCTAGGAAATATGTACCATCCACACCATTGCATAATAGAGGCCGTCTGAACTTGATTTCCACAGATTCAACAGCACTTACCAACCTAAAGCACAAAGGCATGAGCGACTGCTCTCCCAAAATAATTTTTTCTACATTGTCTGTGTTAACTTGAGAGGCTGGTTGATATGGTAGTCCCAGGGTCCTCTCTCGTACTTTTTAAAAATCCATTATTGTTTTGCTTGTCAAAAGCTATTTCACAATATAAGCAAGCTAGCTTCTTGAAATACCATGGGAATATCTCCAACTTGGAGTCCACCATACACAATGCAACCCAACAAGCTTACCCTACATTAGTTAGCTGACACTCACCAACCAATCAAAGGGATTTATGAGGATTTGAAAATGTTGGCTAGAACGTGACTTTGCTTTCAGCAAATTATGCTGGGCTGAATTATATATTAGTATTTTAAAAATAAAATTACAAAATAATTAAAATGAGGTCTTTATCTTCATCGAGGGGGCGGGGTAGTCTATCTGAGGAAGCACTGCTCCCTTACGCCCCCCTGTGGCGCCAAGCCAGAGTGTACCTTTTCAGTCTCCGAAATGTAGACAGATATCATTACATTAGCTTAGATTAACTTTTTTTGATCCCAGGGGGAAATTCTTGACCATAGAGGTGCAATTAAGTCTGGTTTAGTTGCCATGGCAACTAATCACCCATGCCCAATGACACTTCAGTTACTGATGTCTAGCTGCCCCTCATAAGTACTACTGGAATAAATGGGACCAGCTGAAAGGCATCTCTGCAGAAATCCCATGAGTAAGACATTTAGTCAAAAAACTAAAAACTATTTTTTTATTTAATATTTTATATTTGTGGATGTAGATTAACAGTATTTTAAGAGTAGCTTAATCCTAGCCTTATGACATATTGAGACCTCATACTGCTAAATAAAAATGGTTAGATTTACACTGTTAATATATTAACTTAATAAAACAATATATATTAAGAGAATCATTTTATTAAGAAATTAATTCATCTTAAAAAAATAATGCTTCCATTAAGTGTTATTTAGAGCCTGGGTCTTCAGCCATAGTTCTGAAGGTTAGCAGTGTATTCCAGCACATAATTGAACTCATCTATCAGTCATTTTTGGTGTCAAGGCTGTTAGGTGTTAAAAACTGAGAAAAATCCACAAACACTGCAGCCCTCCCAGGTCAGCCATAAAAGCCCAAGTATGACGGCTATGGAACAGTGAAGCATCTAACCAGGCTCGCATTTTCATTCTTCACATTTAAGACAAACGTGACCCAGTGCCCTGGGTCCAAAGCTTAGCTTTAATACCAAAGCTACCGATATAAGCATAGGAGAGTTTAATAAATGACCTTGTCCTTTATGTTCTGCCAGAGCAGAGGACCTCCCACGCTTTTTCCATGAACTCCTCCTTCTGATAAAGGTCCATCAAGAACAAGCAGTGGCAGAAAGTATGTCTACAGCTCAATTTGTTTTCCAACCCGAACAATATATAGAAACAGAAGATATGCACACACACATTTCACTCCTAGTGATGATGTTAAAACACTTTGTAACACTGCTTAAAAGTCTTAATGGTACAGATGTCCCAGAGTACTAGATCCAAATGAATAATTCAGTGTAAATGTATTAACTTTATTTCCATAATTGTTTACATGGACATGTGAGGTTTACAGTGCAATAGAAACACAGAATTCCAGCTTGTAATGGATTACCATTTTTAAAAGAGAAGAATAACCTAAACACATGGCTTATTCTCTTTTGCTACAAAAACAATTAGTTTTCTGTCTTTGTCTAAACGAACATACAAATTCTTTTAATAAAAAGGAACAAACAGCAAAATAAATACTGATAAAATATTTTGTCTCTTTATGACTGTAAGACACATCGTTTTATTCATTTTGCCAAAGGAACAGAAGGTACAGGCTTCAGCAGCTACAAAAACTTTTTAATTTCTGGGTTTCAAGTCTAGCCTGGTAAATACGTAACGGTAAACTGAGTTGGTGGGTGGAAGGACAGTCTTCTTTATGCTTCCCAATATTTCCATTAGGACTGCCAGAGCTTTGGGGTCTTCAAATAACATGTGAAAACGGGCATTGAACTACGATGGCTGTATGGTAAACAGGGATGATGACCAATGTGTCTGGCAAATGGCCGCTTCAGTGTCATGTGACCTCAGCGAAGGCGATGTGATTCTGAGAAGCAGAAAAAGAGGAAAAAACATATCAAACCCCTAACAAAATTAATAGGAGCGATTAATCACTTTTCTCCTGCGATGTTGGACGCTTAGACCATGCTGATGGATGAAAGGTTAACCATGTTTCCCTTTTTGTGAAATATTATTTATATGATTGAGCATTTATGTATAAATCATATGTAAAAATACAATGATAATACTGAATGCTGCGTATTTAAGCAGCTGTGGAAATGGAATGTGCAGTAGTCCATGGGTACTCTCCTTCATCCTTAAGCAGGCAAAACCAGCCACTGTAAGCTTAATGCTGCAGGCTTGGAAGTGTTCATCGCGGTTAGAGAAGCAGCCAAGCATTGCAGGCAGAAATATCTTTGTGCTACCTTGGCAATCCTGTTCTACTGCCATATAACCCCTGTCTGCTCCCCAAATCTGAAACCAAACGAGCCTTGGTGAGATAGAGGGCACCACAAATACGGTAATTATGTCAGTTTCTGCAAATAAGTGTCCATGACTGTCCGTGATCAAAAAGGTAAAGATTTTGTAACATTTTGGTCAACTCTCAAGCAAAATTCCTGAAGCAAATGTCTCTGTGGTGACATTAAAATATATTACTTATCTGAAAGGTTGGCTACATCTACTTGCTGCTCCATATGTGAAATTACATATTTTATCCAGTCTGACACCATTCATCTGAATTTGTAACAATTGAGTTTAACTTTCATTTCTCAGAGTGATGGTATCATGTCACAGACACATTAAAGACATCATCTGAATCTTGAGAGATTTTTGAGACCACTGTTTGCTTGGTTACCACAGTACAGTAATAGAGTCACAATCATAATGCAATGCAAAAGATGTTCAGAAATACGATTTGATGCTTATGTTGAAAAAACGCACGCGTTGGCAGTTGGTCAAAACAAACCAATGTGAAATACATTTCAAAAAACATTTCAAAACAGTTCAAAAGATTTTAACACCATGCATTTCAGACATTCAAAAATTAAGCACAAAACAATTCCTTAATTTATGATTAAACAGATGCATACAGAAACCTCTCAAAAGGCTTGATTGTTTCTAAAAAACAAATACTTACACAATGCCTTGTCAAGTGAGGGACCTGGATTTACAGTAAGTCACAGTTTAATTTACAGCAGTACGTCAAAGCTTAAACTGGCGGATCTTTGACAAACAAACGTGAGCACATGCTGTTTCACGTAAAACAAGCAAACAAACCAGAAGTTTGAGTAACAACCTCTGCCAAATACTCTGGATGGCCCGGCGCAACAAAAAGTGCATGTTAACAATTTACCTCAAAATTATCGCCTACTTTCGATTTGCTTAGGCTGCTCGCCGTCAACCGCGAGCGATCCAGAGATTTGGCGGGCAGCATCCCTCCACACAGGTGTGCATACGTTTATTGCCTTGTGTGATGCAGGTGCTCGAAGCGACTCATCCCCGTGATCCAGCTAAAGAACCTGACGACGCGTGATTTGAGAGAGGTAGCGGGGACTGCTTCCTCTTCCCTAAGTTCTGCCACCTGAAGGGCATATTCATCACATCAATGACCATAAGCACTAACCCGGGTCCACTAACCCGGCCACACAGAGACGGCGCGTTAAGCAGTACCTGTGAGGCTATGTATTTCTGCAGGGGGCTCTCTACTCTAGGAAGGCTGGTCATAGGAGCGCTGGACAGTGTGTCCTTCTCCAGGGTTTCGTTCAACAAGAGTTTGCCCTTGAAGTTGTGCACAACACAAACCACCTTTGACAGACAAGGGGAGAAAAAAAAAAGTTTTCCGGTCAGCCAGTACCTCAGACCTTCTCAGACCTAACTGACGCATTTGAGGCATGAATGAAGCATTTCCTTGACTGATGCAGCCTTTCCAGCTAACGCCGATACCCAAGCTGATGGACGTGCTTGTGGCTGTGGCCTCATAAATGAAGAGAAATGTAAAATGCAAATGAATTCATCCCAAGATATTTTAACAGCTTTGATTTCCGCAGGCTCTCTATTTATAAACACAATCTCGAAATGTCACACACAGGCACATTTAGGCCAAGGAAACAGGAAGTCTCCTAACATTATTGTATAAAGGAACTAAATAGCTTATTATGCTATTAAGAATACCCAGCTGAAGTCTAGTCAGTTGACAAAGATGCTGGCTAGTTACTATAATATGAAATGTGAGGCTTTGGATATTGTTTCCATTTTAATCTCTTACACAGCTGGACATCTGACTAAAGAAATTCATATAAAGTTTGTTTCCCATGGGCACAGCATGAGAAAAAATTACCAAGCAACCTTGAGGGTGGTCACTAGTCCAAATCCAGAACCAATATCCCAGCTGTCTCAGGAAGTATGGAAGTATGAAAAAACACTAAACCAGAGCAACCTTGGGGCCAGCTCAGGTGAGGCGATGGGACTGACGGTGTATAAAAACTGTAAAAAAAATAATTAAATAATAAAAAATCACACTTTAGGGAGACTTCAAAGCCCACCTGACAGGACACATTTAACAAAACATGCTCGTCTGTTTGAAGAATGGGTAATTACACTGTTACAAATGACTATGGGCTGTTGGAGATTCAGGCTCAGATGGAGATGGAGGGAGCAAACATCGCTTTGCCTAGTGGGCAAGTTAAGAATAAAATGATGAAAGAAGCTCATGATAATACATCTTAAAAGCCAAGGACAGAGAGAATGGAAGGAGCGACAGGAGAAATATTTCATAAACGTCTGACTGGCTATTGCCTCACAACAGACACGTAGACAGAGTAACTGCAAAGGACAAAAATGCCTATATTTACCATTATAATGTATATTATTAACATTTTTAATACTGGCAATGTTATAATGTCACTGTATAATTCTAGTCTCAGGACAGTAGGCCTGGGAAAGCAAATAAAACTATAGGTATTAGTATTGCTTGAATCAGTACAAGTATAGTTTATACTACATTGTTAAAATAGCTATGAGAGCAAATTGCATTGCATATGGTGTTGTATTTACTTGGGAGTAAATAGCCAGTCAGAGTTACCATGAAAAAACCTATGGAAATGTAACCATTTTAGAGATAACAAATATAAAATGTAACAATTTTAGAAATAACAAATATAAAATGCCATCAGTAGCTGCACAAAAATATTACGCTTCAGCTGACACTCTGACACTTTATACTCATGGTTCTACCACCATTGCACTTCTTACACTTATAAAGGCTTTGTCTGCTTATCCATGGTGATGTTATTTTCATTTTTTTACTGTTATTTATCCACAGCCACTGAATTTCAAGAAACACCGCAAGACCAAGGTGTTCCATGAATTCCTACACATACCTGATGCCTAATTTTGTTCCCTGGATGTTCTTATGTTGCACTTTTGTCCCTTGTATAGTCTTATTAAGTTGCTTTAATAGAATTCATTGTGTAGCTCCTGCTCCAATACTGCTTACTCTTGAACCTGGGCGTTCATTGTGAGCTCAGCCTAGCTGACCTTATGCCCAGGTGACTCCTTGACAGCATTAATGTAAGCAATGTGCTACTTGCCTCACTTACACATCACTTTGGCCAAAAGTGTCTGTTAATTATACAAGTGTATCTGTATTCATTATCATTATCTATAGGCAAATATACACCTGACAATAAGAAAGACCTTGAACCGTGTATATGCTGAAAGGTAATGATATGAACACATAATTTCCTACACTTTCACAGAGCAGATTTTGGCATGACTGATTAAACTCTCTGTAATACAAGGTCAAGTATTCTAAGCTTTTTCTCTAAGAAAGGAGTTTGTTGACGCCACATCTGGGCCGCTGGCAGGTTCAGATTCAGGTTCAGGTTCGGGTTACTTTATTTCTACCTGTAGGTAGATTTGGGGACAGGCACATGGGACTGAGTGGAGGTGGTGATGGATGCAAAGCTCAGGGGTCACACAGATGCTGTGAGGTGGCCATGAAGAGCCCAGAACAGGTGGAGTTTGTTTATGATGCATCACCAAGGGCTGGAAATTCAACAAGCAAAATATAGATTTTCACGTTTATAAAAATACTACACATTTTTTTGGAATAGCTCTCTGCGCCTTTGTTTCTCTGGCTTCTGCTTCTCCTGGGGTTTCAAATCCATTTTTATAATACTATAGAGAAAAATAAACCAACTATCCTATCAACGGTAGCTACGTAGGCACCACGATTAGTTTGCCAAATTTGGCCAATTTCTCCAAACTAAAACAATGCAACATGAACAGTATGTAAATTATTCAGACAGACCTTACAAGACAGCATTTTAGCATATTTCATAAATACATTATGAGCAGACACATCAAAGACACACAGAATACAAGTTCCCAGAATTTATTTACACTAGCAAATAAAATCATGTTCCATGCTATTCTTATCCAATCCTAACCCTGCCCATCCATTACTGCATATCTATTACGGGGTCGTTGTTAGCCTGGAGCCTATCCCAGAATGCACAGGGCATGAGGCAGGGGACACCCAAGTTGGGATGCCAGTCCATCATAACCGCAATTATGCTGCAAAAAATGTACACCTGCTTCATGTGTCGTCCCAATCGATTGAAAAATAATGTCATCATAGTACATCTCTTATTACATTATAAATAATAAGCTGGAATGGGCTGTGATATAAATAAAGGCAGGGACTATACTGTAGGACAGGAAAAGATCATTGTAAAACACGTTGTTACTATAGACCTGTCTCCAAAATAGTTGGGATGCTGTGTAAAATGTAAATAAACAGAATGCAATGATTTATAAATCATATAAACTCATATTTAATTAAGCATAGAACAAAGACAACATACCAAATGTTGAAACTGAGAAATTTTGTTTTATGAAAAATATATGCTCAATTTGAATTTGATGCCATCAACACGTTTCAAAAAAGTTGGGTCAGGGGCGTGTTTACCGCTGTGTTGCATCACCTCATCTTTTAACAGCACTCTGCACGTTCTGAACCGAGGAGACCAGTTGCTGGGGTTTTGAAAGTGAAATGTTGTCCCATTCTTGCGTGATATAGGATTTCAACTGCTCACTTTGTTGTATTTTTCGTTTCATGATGTGCCAAATGTTTTCAATGGGTGACAGGTCTGGACGGCAGGCAGGCCAGTCTAGCACTCTTCTACTACGGAGCCATGCTGTTGTAATGCGTGCAGAATGCGGTTTGGCATTGTCTTACTGAAATATAGAAGACCTTCTCTGAAAAAGACATCTGGATGGCAGCAGAAGTTGCTCCAAAACTCGTATATATCATTCAGCATTAATGGTGCCTTCCCAGATGTGCAAGCAACCCAAGGCATGGGCACTAATGCACCCTCGTACCATCACAGATTATTCTTTAATTGTTGCGCTATTTGCCCATGCAGTCTTTCACAAAGTGATGACCCCCCCCCCCCATCTTCACTACACAGAGACTCTGCCTTTCTGGGAGGCTCTTTTTATACCCAATCATCTTACTGACCTGCTGCCAATTCATTTAATTAATTGTGAGATATTCAACCAGGTGTTTTGTTTTAGCATTACACAACTTTTTCAAGTGTTTTGCTGTCCCTGTCCCAACTTTCCTGAAACATGTTGCTGGCATAAAATCCATCCATCCATTATCTATAACGCTAATCCCAGCATCATCGGGCGAGAGCAGGGCGCCAGTCCACCACAGGGCCAACACAGACAAACAGCCACACACACACTCGCATTCACACCTATGGGCAATTCAGAGTAGGCAGTTGACCTAATCTGCATGTCTTTGGATTGTAGGAGGAAACCCACACATGCACGGGGAGAACATGCAAACTCCACACAGAAAGGCACCCTGTGTGACCCAGGGATCGAACCCAGGACCGTCTTGCTGTGAGGTGACAGCACTAACCACTGCACCACCAAGCCACCCGCATCAAATCCAAATTGAGCATATATTTGTTATACAACAATACATTTTTTCTGCTTCAACATTTGATATGTCTTCTATTTTCAATTAAATATGGGTTTATATGATTTGCAAATCATTGCATTGTTTTTTGTTATATTGTACACAATGTCCAGACTTTTTTGGAAATGGAACTGTACAAAAAGTATCCACAGTGTATGTGCAGTTGTAAAGCCTAACTATTACAGAATCTGTTGGTACCCAGGTACATACCACAGTATACCAAAGGAGTGTTTTTATAAGGATTATTGGTTGGATATATTCATTTAGGCGTCATTCTGATCACATTACTTGATTTTTAATCAATACTTCTCAGACAGCAATCACACAGTCAGGGGCATTGCTTCCACGTAGACCATAACTTTGATGTTTTCTTCTCAGTTTTCCAATTCCAACAAAACCAGCACATAAAAGTGAATGACAGCAAAACCAGCTTCTCTGTCCATATCCACAGGGGCCCAACAGGTGGTCAGGTGACAGCCCTGATTCAGATCTATTAAACTATCTCAGTGGCTGTAATGAGCTCTCAGCTCCAACAATCTATTCAGCTCATGCAACATTTGAAGATCTGTAGGATTGGTCACAGATCCATGGAGTCAGAGGCTAAGAAAATTAAAAAAAATATAGAATACTACCACAAAAAAGTATACTTTATTTCACAAATACGGAAGCAGCCCTATTTATAGACTATAAAGTTCTGCAAAGAGAGAATATAGAGAGTGTAATTATCTTGATTGACAAATGGACAACCAGCAGTATTACAATGGAAAGATTCAGGCTCTAAATAAGCCACAAGGCTAAATCAAAGCTTTTGGGAATAGGCTGCTGATTAGAGACGTAAATGCTTTTGCTGCTACATCATTAAGGAAATGTTCTGACTGACCTGCTTTGCAGTTCTTTCAAAGCGGTAATAGAAGCAGGAGAATTATTTCATTACTTAGTAGGATGCAACCCAATTATAATGGGTGTTGGGTCTTTATTTTGCAAATGAAAAATAGTCAAATAAATTGAGTAGAGAAATTAAAAGTTAATATCCTCCATAAAAGAAATGCAACTAAAGGGAATATGTAAACACTCTCTAACCAGTATGATAATAAATTTGGACATTTCTGTTGTTTTCTGTACAGTTCCCAATTCCCCAGTGCCAAATACTGCCTAACTGCATGCGGAGCATCTCCATGACCCCGTCTTCCTCTAGTCGACTATGAAAATGAGAGAAGCAGTTTCCAAATGGAATAATTCCTTTCTCTAGAAACATAGCTGATTTAAACACAGTCATGTAAGAAGTGTTGTTATTAAAACTGTGAAATAAAAATGATCAAATTGCTTATGTGCAAATGAAACAACAGTACAGTACTTATAATAGAAATCTCAATATATCCAAGGAGGAAAGTTTTTGTGAAATATTAATTAAATGTTTCTGCAGAACTGTGCAGAAGTCAAAGGAAATGTTTAAAGCCATTTATCTGTGTTGTAATTGTATATCTGCTCAGAACAAAAAAAACACAATTTGACATTAGAACATCTGCAAATTTAGAGAAACATAAAAACAAACAGGACATTCTTATGAACTCTAAGAAGTTACTGATATCTAGTATATCAGTTAGATGAACACCGTTTCAGTTCCCAAACCTCTCACCGGGGTCATCCTGGCCATTCCATGTATTCAATACATTTCAGCATGAGCTCACTTAATTAACTAAATAATCAATTAGTGTAAAAACTCAATGAGGTATAGATTAGTTATACTAGGGGGCGTAGTGGGATAGTCAGAAAATGCATGGCTGTGTTGGATGGTTGCTGCAAATACTGTGAGGTTTTGAAATGGTTAAGTTGCAGACATAATATCAGTTTTACACCAATATGAAGATCCTTTTAATATCATTTTCTTAGACTGTCTACAACTTTCGCACAGTACTATATATGTGTAGATAGGATGTACCTCATAGAAAATGATCCATTGTATAAATGGATAAAAGCTTTGAAGGTATATCCAGTGATCAGTTTATGAGTTTATGATCTTCCTAGAACCTGGTCAGACCCTCTTTAGGTTCCATAACTGCCTTAATCTTGAGGCGTGGAATCACAGTATGCAGACATTGTGTGGATACCAACGTACTGGGCTGTAACTGTTGCACTTGTGGCCCTTCAGACAGTCTGAACCAGCCTGGCCGTTCTCCTCTGCCCTCCTTCATTAGTAAGGTGTTTTCAGCCACACAGCTAACATGAACATGAACTGCATGTTTTTTGTTTACCTCACCTTTCTCTGTAGATTGATGGAGGGTATTTCTGAATTTCTGGAACCACCGACTCTCATCCATGATCCATCTATATTCCAACCCACCCCAGGTTGAACAGGGAACAAGTTAAGGGTACACCTTGACTGGGATGCCAGTCTATCACAGGGCACAGACGTCAAACACTATGAACAATTTAGAGAAGCCAATCAGCTTAACTGCATGTCTTTGGACTCTAAGAGGAAACTCAGTCAACTGACGGAAACCCACGTAGACATGGGGAAGACTCCACACACACAGACCAGACAGGACACAAACCCCCAACCCTGGGGGTGTGAAACGGTGCCACCCCATCATACTGGGCCACCCACCAACATATTACGTTCAAAATCACACATCTTGCCCTCTACAGCACTCAGCTGAACAGTAACAAACTCTTCACCCATTCTACATCCCTTATTCACTGAGATGCAGCCACACGATTTGTTGTTCGGAGAAGCAACAAATATGAGTAGCATGTAATGAGAAGTAAACCTGTATGACTAGTCATAAGCATAATTCGTAAAATAATCACATAGACTGCTATATGTGGGGGTGTGTAATTATAATAGCATATGTCTGACTGGAATGGAGTCTTTATGCAAATGTTATAGTTTAGGAAACGTATAGACTGAAACACTGTAGAGTTAATGAGAAACGATCGTGCTGGAGCTCAGTGCCCTTGAACGACAGGCTTGATATTGTTTTCTCTCCTCTTCCTGAGCCCCGTGCATTTCATCACCACTGGAAGGTTTCCCCCTGCTCCTGTTTTCCCCCAAGCGGAATGTGACAAGCACACCCATGCACGGCCGAGCAGAGATGACATTATTATACACACTAAACCAGGAAAGCTCCTATCGTTCTGCTCCATCCTATTTGTCTGCTTATGTAATTATGTTTCGTTTCCCTCTTTGCTGTTTTGTTTGGCATAAGGGAGGCCACACCGAACTGATGTAATCCAGGAGCGTATCCAGCAACTTCACCTAAAGGAGGTTCGCTTGCTCGTGTGTTAGAGAATATTCTGCACCCATGACCTTTCCTCCACAAACCTGGACCAGAGCATCCTTCACGTCGCCAAGGGAAACAGTCTCCCGAATCCTCCAATCAGATTCAAGCTTGGGGACCAGGTGAAGAGATAATGCCTCAAACACACACATGCAGAGCATATATCGATACCACGGCAATTCCCGCACGCTAATGTTTCCTGCCAGGCTGTGCAACAGGGCTTAGAATTCTTATCCAATTTCTCTTGCTAGAAGCGATGAATAGAAATCTGTCTTCTTGCTCTCCCTTCATAAGTGGCTCACAAAGGACTCGTCGCTAGTTCAGCAAACAAGGCCAAAGTAAGAAGGGACTCGGCACTGCGTAGCCGATGCTGAGAGCCAGTGCCGACGGAAGAAGAGTAACAGGCAAGCAGCGGGTGATGCTCTGCAGCGTTTATACAACTTCAGAGATGTCTGAACTCCATTCTGGATTTACACAGAACAAGTTTTACATTTATAATGTGAGGACTTGAGAAACTCAGAAACGGCTGCCTTTCTGGGATTTCGGCAGTGCCTAAAGTTTGCAGAGAGGTAAACAAAAAACATGCAGTACCTGTTAGTTCTGTGGCTGAAAACTCCTTGTTAATGAGAGAGGCGAGACTAGAACCGCCAGACTCAGACAGGAAGGCCACAAGTGCAACAATAACAGTACAGTGTCCAATAAGAAGACGGAGCACATTGGTATGCGCACAATATTCCCATAGTGTGAATCCAAAATCAAGGCAGTAGCAGAACCTAAATGGGGTCTGACCAGGTTCTAGGAAGGTCTGAAGTGATCACTGGGTACCTTCAAAGCAAATATCCATTTATAAAATGGGTCGTTTTACACAATACAGTATGTATCCACGTGTGGATACCTGAATACTTCGGGTGACTGATTACTTAGATCCCTTAACAATCGTTTAAAGCTCCTTAGTCCATCTCTATAGCTTGATCTCAGCACCTTATTCCACAGTTTTTGCTGGATTTAAATTGAAACTAAAAGACGGCAGACCAAATGGAAGATGAGTGTGCCTTTCACATGTACAGTATGTTATTAATTGTGCGGCTACCTGGAAGCGTGAGTGTGCTGCCCGGCGCCCTTACCAGGAAGGTGGCGATGGCCACGCCGACGATGAAGCCCGCAATGACGTCTGCCCAGTGGTTGCGGTACTCCGCCACACGGTTCAGGCCCGTCAGAAAGGCCAGGCACATCAGCCCCAAGGACAAGACGGGCTTTGCTAACCTCGTTCCTTTGGCTTTCACTGTACAGCTGATGTACATCTGGAGGAGAGAGAGAGAGAGAGACAGACAGACAGACGATGAAGAAAATTCTTGCTTTTGAAGTTTTTTTCAAGCAGGGAGTCCCTTTTCCCATAAAGACTGCCGAATTATTCCGATAAAGCTGAAAAAATGTAGAAGAAATATCACCTAAAACAAGAAAAAATGTATGTTACGATATTTCCAAATACTGTTTCATTGGAAGACACAACTCATTTAGGCGTGAACGTGAAAGCAGGGCACAGGCAGGAACGCAGCCTTGACTCTTATTGTTCGGGCTCCTCATCACCACCCCCAACCCCAACTGTTTGTGTCAGTCCTCGGGGAGAGGGCCTGCAGGGCGGGGGGGGGGGGGGATGGGCAGCTGCTGATAACGGTCCAGCTAAATCAGGAAGGCTGAACCAAACAGAGATGAAGTGCCTCCGGGAGGTCAGCCCAAACAGGCAGCTGGGAAGGGAATGCGAGGTGGGGGAGCAGCCGGTCCAGCGCCCTGCCGCCTCCAGACGTCCACCTGAGATTTAGGCTCCTGTCACTCCTTCATGATTTACCCTCAAACGGGGAATAAGGGCTGAATGCTGCTTAGGGGTCTTTGTGCGGCAGCAGCCAACAGCACTCCTCAAATTAGGAGACCTAGTTTTGGACAAACTCAGACAAGAAGGCAACATTCTACCTCAAATTAGCATAGCCAATGGAAAGTTGAGTGCAGGCAGTAGGTTAAGAAGCTACCAAAACTATTAGGAATAATACTGATAAAACGCAATTTATAATATTGTTTAAGAAATTATGGTTATGCCCCGCAATGGATTAGCACCCATTCCTGGGTCATTCCCATTGTTCCCATTGCACTCATTGTTTTCAGGACAGGCTGTGGACCCCCACAACCCTGGATAGGACACGCAGGTATGGAAAATGGCTGGGCTTTTTAATATAGTTCATTATTCAAAACAAATAAGTGAGAGCAAAAAAAAAAGAAAAGAAAAGATGAGAAAGAAAAGAAAGTCTCCTTAAGGTGTCTTTAATCTTAATGCAAATATGAACTTCATTGTACATTTGAAATACAAAAAAGAAATGTTACAGCCCAGTCCTCACTGAGGTCACCAAGGGGTTATATTCAGTGGTGGATGGAGAGATTATCATTAAAAAGACATTCTGTCCTCAATATATTTTTGTTTCGGAACCATTTTATAAAAGTAATAAAGACCAGATTCCATGCTCTGCTCTGCATCAGGCTAGCTAATGACAACCGTTACCCGTGACGAAGTCTACAGACAACATCTGATGTTGAGAATTTGGAAGCGGCATGAGATGTAATCTTCAGTGCTCCAAGGGACACTGCTGTTCAAGGAGATCAATTCCTCAGCAGGTTCGGAAGAAGCGAAGTCACAAAGGGTCAATGTTTTTTAAAAGGAAAATAAAAGTATTAAAAGGGTCGTGAAAAAAATATCTGTTCTTCTTGCTTTTTTATAAAGATTCTGTTTAATGCCAGTTATATTTTAATGTCCAATGTGGAGTTTGAGAAGCATTATGAAACACAATAAAAATCCTCTTATTATACATGTATAACAACAGTTAATGTTTAAGTTAAAATTAAGCAATGAAAAAATGTTAAGTTTTTTCTACCTATGTCATATGCTAAAGGGCAGTATGTCTGAGGATTTTTTTCCAGAATATTCCATGCATGAGATCATGAAAATAGTTGATGTATATGGCCTGTTATTTGCATGCACTGTCACACTGTATTACATCCTCTTACATCCCTCCTTCATTTCACAGCTCTCAAGATAAATATATCATGGTAAGAAATTAGAAACATCTGTTTTAGTAGACCACCACTGCACGTTAAGTCTGAATAATTCCAGGGAATTTACTTCAACTGACTGAGCCAACTGTCATCCCAAGGAGATATTTGTCTACCCTGTAAGCTACAGTATGTTAGCTACCTAGCTAGGTACTCTTATGACTAAGAAAAGCTTTATCATTCAGGCTTGGTTGTACCCATGAAGGTAATTTGACTATATTGCCAATGTCTATCTTCCTTTGCTACTTAATAAGCTTTATATATTTCTAAGTCCTTCATAGTGATCCATCTTTCTCAAAATACGAAAGTGTGCACACCAGCGTTCCCAATTTCTCTTTTGAATAGACACAATAACAAGCCTGGTTTCCTAGCTAACCAGCTCTTCTTAACAATCATCCATTTGCTACTTTGCCCCAAATGTTCTGTTCTTTCATCCAGCTATTCCAAGAGAGAATCTGGAAACTGTCATTTTTAACCATTAGCAAAATTAGCAACACTTTCCTTAGCAACAGATCACAGTACCAGTGCGAGTTGAACATTGTCATGCGTCTGTTGCTGACAGAAGTGTATCGTCTTTTGTTTTCATACACTTTTCTTTTTCTGAATCTGGAAATCATAATACCTCAAGCAAATATCTTTTGATTATTCCCATTTGGGGCAGCACGGTGCTGCAGTGGTTAGCACTATTGCCTCATACCTCTAGGTCTGGGGTTCGAGTCTCCGCCATGACTCTAAGTATGTGGAGTCTGCATGTTCTCATGTTACGATGGGATTTCCTCGGGTTTCCTCCCACAGTCCAAAACCATGCTAAGATGAACTAGAGTTTCCACATTGTCTGTAGATGTCAGAGGGCACCCTGTGATGGGTTGGCACCTCATCCTGAGCTATTCTGTGCCTTGCTGCTGGCATAAGTGGGTATTTCTGTTTTCTTACTCCATTCATCCCTCTTCCAACTACTCAAGTTCAGGGGATAGGGGGTGGGGGTGATATATTTAGCGTATACAAAAGAAAAAGCGGGTACCAGGATACCAGGCTATCACGGGGCACACACACATG